CCTCCCCGCCCCAATTTTGCAGTAAAAATTTGCTATCTCCCTTAATTTTAGAGATATCTTTGAAAAACTCATCGACGAGCTAAGTCCACTATACGGGAGGGCTGTATATCGACAGTTTAGTATAATCTACCCCCCTTCCTATAAACCCTGTCCCACAGAAAGTTCCCCTTATGGCAAACCTCCTCCCCATTGATGAAGCCCCATAGGCCCAACCCGGTCTCAATCAAACCGAAAAATCGGCGGGAATCAAACCGAAAAATCGGTCTGAATCAAACGGAAAAATCTACTAGAATCAAGTCGCTATTTACTACCTGAAACAGGCAGAATTTCAGCGTGAATTACTCCGTTTTTCGGTTTGATTCAAACCGACGTCGGCTTGACTCGTTTCTACATGAAATAAACCACTTTTCGACTTACATCTCGACTCAGTCAATTCTGAGTCATTTGAGTATACCTTTCCGAGACTTTTTTTTTCATTTTTTGAAAGGAATTTAAAGATTCAAAACAACTCAAAAAGTTTGAAAAACACTTCATCAGAGAATACCATATCTCGACGTTTCAGTTGATTCTAAGTGATTTGAGTATACCTTTTCGAGACTTTTTTTTCATTTTTTGAAAGGAATTTAAAGATTCAAAATTTGACGCAAAAAGTTCAAAAAACACTTTCTCAGGGAATTGTATATCTCGACGTTTCCGTTGATTCAGAGTCATTTCAGTATACCTTTCCGAGAGGTTTTTTAAAAAATTTTTTTAAGGGAAATTAAAAATTCAAAATTTGATCCAAAAAGTTCGAAAATTACTTTCTCAGGGATGATTATATCTTGACGTTTCAGTTGATTCTGAGTCATTTGAGTATACTTTTCCGAGCCGTTTTTTTTTCATTTTTTGAAAGGAATTTGGAAATTCAAAATTCGACCCAAAAAATTCGAAAAATGCTTTCTCAGGGAATAGTATATCGGGACGTTTCAGTTGATTCTGAGTCATTTGAGTATAATTTTCCGAAACTTTTTTTCTCATTTCATGCCAAGAATCTGAGAATTCAAAATTTGCCCAAAAAGTTGAAAAAAACGCTTTCTCAAGGAATTGTATATCTCGACGTTTCAGCTGATTCTGAGTCATTTGAGTATAAAATGGTTTTGTTACTAATTTACAAAATCCCCCCCCCCCCTCTTCTCATTCAGAAAAAAAACAATGGAGCAAAAGGGGTACGTTCCAAGTTTCCAAATTTCCCCCCTCCCTCCACTTTTATTCATAAAGAAAAGAAAAAACAATGGGGCAAAATGGGTCCGTTACAATTTTATAAAATCCTCCCCCCCTTTATTCATTAAAAAAGACAAAANTAAAAAGAACGATTAAACTCTCCATGAAATTTAGCTTTTCAATTTTCAATGTCTTTGGCTGTGAATCCTCAAAGCACAACCCACCTCCCCGCCCCAATTTTGCAGTAAAAATTTGCTATCTCCCTTAATTTTAGAGATATCTTTGAAAAACTCATCGACGAGCTAAGTCCACTATACGGGAGGGCTGTATATCGACAGTTTAGTATAATCTACCCCCCTTCCTATAAACCCTGTCCCACAGAAAGTTCCCCTTATGGCAAACCTCCTCCCCATTGATGAAGCCCCATAGGCCCAACCCGGTCTCAATCAAACCGAAAAATCGGCGGGAATCAAACCGAAAAATCGGTCTGAATCAAACGGAAAAATCTACTAGAATCAAGTCGCTATTTACTACCTGAAACAGGCAGAATTTCAGCGTGAATTACTCCGTTTTTCGGTTTGATTCAAACCGACGTCGGCTTGACTCGTTTCTACATGAAATAAACCACTTTTCGACTTACATCTCGACTCAGTCAATTCTGAGTCATTTGAGTATACCTTTCCGAGACTTTTTTTTTCATTTTTTGAAAGGAATTTAAAGATTCAAAACAACTCAAAAAGTTTGAAAAACACTTCATCAGAGAATACCATATCTCGACGTTTCAGTTGATTCTAAGTGATTTGAGTATACCTTTTCGAGACTTTTTTTTCATTTTTTGAAAGGAATTTAAAGATTCAAAATTTGACGCAAAAAGTTCAAAAAACACTTTCTCAGGGAATTGTATATCTCGACGTTTCCGTTGATTCAGAGTCATTTCAGTATACCTTTCCGAGAGGTTTTTTAAAAAATTTTTTTAAGGGAAATTAAAAATTCAAAATTTGATCCAAAAAGTTCGAAAATTACTTTCTCAGGGATGATTATATCTTGACGTTTCAGTTGATTCTGAGTCATTTGAGTATACTTTTCCGAGCCGTTTTTTTTTCATTTTTTGAAAGGAATTTGGAAATTCAAAATTCGACCCAAAAAATTCGAAAAATGCTTTCTCAGGGAATAGTATATCGGGACGTTTCAGTTGATTCTGAGTCATTTGAGTATAATTTTCCGAAACTTTTTTTCTCATTTCATGCCAAGAATCTGAGAATTCAAAATTTGCCCAAAAAGTTGAAAAAAACGCTTTCTCAANCTCATTCAGAAAAAAAACAATGGAGCAAAAGGGGTACGTTCCAAGTTTCCAAATTTCCCCCCTCCCTCCACTTTTATTCATAAAGAAAAGAAAAAACAATGGGGCAAAATGGGTCCGTTACAATTTTATAAAATCCTCCCCCCCTTTATTCATTAAAAAAGACAAAAACAATGGGGTAAAATGGGTACGTTACGAATTTACAAAATTCCCCCCCCCCGTCGCCCTTACTCATTAGGAAAAAAAACAACCAGTTTTATTAATAAAAAAAAACAACGGCGCAAAATGAGTACGTTACAATTTTAAAAATTTCCCCCCTGCACTTTTATTCATTAAAAAAAAATGGGGCAAAATGGGTACCTTTCAAGTTTACAAAATTCCCCCGCCCCTTATTTTATTAAGGGGAACAGAACAATGGGGCAAAATGGGTACGTTACAAATTTACAAAATCTCCCCCCCCCCCC